ATAACAACCACCTTTCCAACAACTTAAAATAGATTTTAAACTTTGTAAGCCTTTCCTGTGTGTTTCAGGTTCAAAGTATTTGTTTCTATATAGGAACAAGTCTTGCTTAATCCTTTTTATAGTTCTTGGCCACATTCCTTGGATTAAGATATTTTATAACAGGAAGAGACACAGTGGCACATATACTAAACTAACATAACCTTTTATTGTGAACACCAAGAAGCAAAGATTAAAAGCCTAGATCCTTCAAGCACAGACTACATAAACAGCAATAAATCAATATTTTCCACAAACATAACATTTCCATCCTGTGGAAAAAAAATGTGGAAAACATTTCAGTGCTTTTAGCTGCATTTCATAGTGAAGTTCTTTTCATGCACTAATTAAATATATCTCTAATCAATGTCAGCTAGAAACTTGAGCAGACACTGACATATCCTTACTACCACCACCATCATAATCATCGTCAACATCAGCACCATCACCACTGAACAAATTATGGCTGTTTATTGCACAGTATGAAATATATCCTAGAGGCTGCAATCAACTTTGAATGTTTCCCATAAATTCAGTGTAGATTTATATGCTATCACTCCTACTTTAAAATGTATACAATTAATAATTTCTACATGTGATTTTTAAGGAGGAAAAAAATTCTAAGTACTATAATGAGGCCAGGGCTGAGGATGTAGCTCAGTGATAAGAGTGCATGATTTACATGTGCCGCGCCCTGGATTTGATCCCCAGCATGGCCAAAACAACAGCAACAACAAATACAGTGAGACCATGTTTAATTCTAAGTCTAGAAACATGAAATCTGTGAGAAACTCAAAACACAGCTTGTCTGCATGGTTTTATCTAACTATTCCTCCTAGTTGACAGAAACAAGACAAAAAAATCCTATGTACTATTGGTAAGAAAATAACTGAGCGCTTTATAAAGTTGGATGAAGTTATGTATTTGTTAAAGGTCTTTCAGCATGGGCTACATTTGACACAATCTTCCTTACAAGTGTGGGCTTAAAAGTAATTTAATTATTTTTTTAATTTTTTGAAATTCATACTGGTTTCCCCAGTATATCTAAGTTAATAATGTCAGACTTAGCTTAAACAAGGGTACTTCTATCATAAGTTATATAAGGTCCTTTCTTTTGTATTTGTAACAATTACAGAAAATGAAATGGACTGAAGATAATTCAGTGTTTCTTCCACCAGGCAATGTGTTTGCAGCTCCCAGAGTCTGTTTTTTCAAGTGAGGGATGAGCACCCTTTTTCTAGGCCAAAAGTCATCTAGGTCCACCAAACCCTTCACCATGCACAGGGAGAAATACATTTTATTCTGATGAACTAACAATATTCATGCATGTACGAAGAGATTTCAGTGACCAACCTCGGTTTCTGTGGAGGTGATATACACTGAGGTCACACACTTATGGTATTCAGGGCTCTTCCTGGTGAACAGGGCAGGAATACCCGAGAGATGGACACTGCAAGGACAGAGACCTCACTGTGTGGGTGATATACACGATCTTAAAAGACCTAGATATTTAATCAGATGTCACTAATATTATCTAGATACTATTATTTAGTTGCAAGAGCATAGATATTGGGGGTCACCTACTATTTTACAAGCTACAAATAAGTCTTTAGTCAACAGCTCTATTGTATTCAACCTAAGGTCACTTCCAAGCTGAGAATTAACTCAATTTCAAGGGTCTAATTACTAGAAGGCATGGCTCAACTAAGCAGGAATCAAAGGACATGAACACAAACTGATGTTCTTGAAAGATTGAAAGCCTGTCCTTGTTACTATTTTATGTTTACACATCTATATCCAGAGAGTAAATTTTATAAGCAGTATTAAAAGTGATCAGTATATGGCTCTCAAAAGGTTTAGAAGCTGCCCACCATTTTTCTTATGCCCCTGTAATGTATCTCTGGGAGCTGAGACTTACCTTTTCTAAACTTTTTCCATTTAGTTATTAAATCCCTTCAAAGAATACATGATTCAAAGTAAGAGAAATCTCTCACACATGGTAATATTAAAAGTAGGAAATGTTAGCAAAGAAAAAAAAATGGTCAATCCAAATAGGAAAAGAGGGAGGTAAGCATGAAATTAAGGAATTGACAGAAAACAAAATATAAAGAGTTGGGTGCTTAACTGTCCCTCTTTTTTTTTTTTTTTTTTTTTTTTTTTTT